GCTGTACATTTTTTTCATGAATTTTCATAAGGATTTTTCTACGTAGCATGTGTGTGGCTTAATGATGTAATCACCCGATAGACTAGAAAATGCTCCAAAGGAGACGTTCCGGTCTGTTGTGTACATAATACATGTTTCAGAAATCTGCCTAATTAAGGAATTACCCGATGGATTGGTAGTCTGTTAGATACATGTCATCGTTTTTCTTTTAACACAAAAAAAATAGAGGTATATTATTATATATGGTGTTTGTAATGGCATTTTGAGATATAGGGAAAATTAGAAATGTTACACAATTGAATTTGTTTTTCACTGAGGAAAAATTTTAAAATTCACAAAGGATGCCTTATTTTAAAGTAATTTCAAAGCATTTCACTTTGAGAACATTTCTTCCCATGTTCCTCAAAGGGAAGTAATAGTGTGAATATTTGCCAGAACACTGTGCAAATGGATGGCTTTGACCAAGATCATGGTTGGAATAAGACCTGTTCAGCTCTCCAGGTGTGAGGAGCACCTGCCCCCAGAAGCACACTGAGAAGGGGAGCCAGGGCATCATTTGCAGCTTTAGTTACCTGGGATCATTTTTGCCTTCTCACAGCCTCAGATTTGGTTCACTTCACTGCAAAACGGCCCAACTTCTAAATTTCTTTTTTGATTCCTTTAGGCCCCAGGTGTGATTTTTCTTGACTGTGTACCCGTTTCATTTCTGTTGGCATTTATATTGTAATTACTACCAAAGCAAAGGGAAGGCACCCATCCTTCTTGCCCTGCCTATTATTCTTCATGACACTGAATAAAATGCTTAGACAATCAAATATGATGTCTAGAGCAGGCACAGAAAATGATATGTTTAAACGGGGGGAAGTATATTTTTAATTCAATTTTTGTTCTGCTTAAATGTCAGCTTCATACTATTAGGTCCCTTTTTCAACTAATGGGCTTGGACTATGATGGCAAGTTTTTGATTTGGGATAACATTTTCTTGAGAAATTCTATTTGATTACTTGGCTAGAATTGTTTTGTTTTGTTTTTAATTGTATGGATATTGAGATGCTTGTGCTGTTAGCTTTTTGGAAAAAATTTGAAAGATAAGGTTCTCAAGCATGAAAAGCATATGGATTTGAGAGGTGTGAGTACACGTGCAGAAAGGCTGGAGCTGAGCTCAGTACTTTACTCCATGTTACATTCGGTTGTGAATACATTTACATCAAGTGCTTCATAAAATTGCCTTTTAATATATGTTCATATAACACATTGGATTAATAAATGAAAACATATAGTCTAGTCATTAAGCATATGTACGATTATAAAAATAAGTGCATTTTGTGGTCACGAGAGTAGAAAATTCCCTTTAATTAGTGAAATTGATTGCATATCCTGTATAGTAATGAGCTTCAACAAGATGCAAGTCCTCATTGGATCAAAGTCAGTTTAGATAAGGGCAGCTCAAGGTCACAGAGGGAGATGCCCAGCAGATTCATTTGCATAAAAAATTACTGTTAGAAATAGGACACTGAGGTAGCTCTGGCGTTTTTTGATCTCTTGGCCTTTGTCATGGAGATTCCTAGTAGTGAAGGGAGTAAGACTAGTGTCCCAGATAATGATTAACTGTTTTAATGGCATTCATTCATTCATTCCGCACTAACTACTCATGCAGAAAAAAGGGTTATGTAAAATGACATTAGAAGAAAATCATTTGTAATCGTTGCATCGGGCAGCACTTTGAGGAGACATTAGAAGTAAATCCGTGGCGTGGTAGGCTTATGCTTTATCTTCTGATATTTACTGAGTTTACTGGTGCATGAAAAGCTTTCAGCAAGAATAGCAGATGGGATGGACCTTTCATAGGTAATGCTATCTCCCAGGTTATTACTTCTATATATTGATAGTAAAGTAATCTCTAAGATATCACCCTACAAATATAGATTATTTAAATGTCTGTAACCAAAAAAGAAAAAAAAAAAGCTTTCATAAATAGTTCAATTTGGTATCCATTAGGTCAAAGTCTTAAGGTAAATTTTTTAACTTAAAAAAAGTTCTAGCCCAGTTTGCTCAGTGGTTGTAGCATCAGCCCATGGACTGACAAGGGTATGTAACTCATTTGCAGGCTCAATCCCCGGCCCCAGCTGGGACCTGTGCAGGAGGCCACTAATCGATGTGTCTCTCTCACATTGATGTTTCTCTCTCTGTGCCTCTCCCCCTCCCTTCCACTCTCTCAAAATCCGTGGGGAAAAAAATATCCCTCGGGTGAGGATTAACAAACAAATAAAAAAGTTCTAAAAAATTACATTTGTTCCCTTCATTTAACTTTTTGTCCGCAGTGCAAACATGTATGACAGAACTCTGAACTTAAAGCTAATAAGTTGACACATTCTGCTTTAAATTGGACCTTTACTGTTAATTAAAAATAAAGACATGCTCCAAAGCAGAAGTATTAAGTCACAGATTTGTATTTCTAACACTTTAAATAGCTGTAAGATTTTTGTTAGATCATAGTATGAAAACTTGTCCCCTGGAAATCATTTTTGAGTTTTCAGTACTGTATTCTAATATAGAAATGTTCTCTAATTAGGTAAGATCTAGGCTGATTTCATTCCTATTAAGTCCTAGTACATGATAGTTTATTAAAATGAGAGTATGTAGATAGCTAATGTCATTTACTAATTAATTATTGTGAAACAGTTTAGAATTTCATAGCACAATATAAATACAATTGCTATTTTTATTAGTAATAAAAATGCAAGTTTTTAACTAGTGACATTATTCAGATGAATGAACACCCAAATGTTTGCACTTCATCCCCGGGCATAAATGAACAGTAAGGCTAAATTTGAGGCTTTTTGAATGAGATTACTTTCAAAATAAGTGTCGACATGAAACATGCTTTCAAAATCTTGATTTAAAAAAATCTCTTTAACCCTAGTAATTGTAAAACTGAATTCCTATTCTCTGTATCAGTAACTCCTTCCCGATTCTGCCAGAGTATGTACACTCTCAGTGTGAAGTAGAGGAGACCCTTGGAAAGTTGTGTTAATTTATTCAGGCATTGTAATATATAAAAGCATAATCTTACAGGTTGTCTTTAGTGACTAAAATGTATTGGATGCTCACTATGGGTCATGTACTTTATGTATGCATTATCTCATTCATTTACTAATATTTACTGTCCTGCTGGTGTGGCTCAGTGGTTGAGCATCCACCCATGAAGCAGGGAGTCATAGTTCGATTCCTAGTCAGGTCACGTGGCTTGATTCCCAGTTGCGGGCATGCAGGAGGCACCTGATCTCTCTCCCTCTCCCTTCCTCTCTCTGAAATCAATAAAAACATTTTTTTAAAAATATTTACTGAACTATTAAATGCCTGGCCCAGTTCCAGGATCTGGGATACATCAGTGAACTAAATAGAGACAAATCCCTGTGAGTTGGGGTATGACCAAACAAGCAAGTTAAATATATAGTATATCAGATGTGATAAGTGCCATGAAGTATAAGGAAAAAACTCAGTGAAGCAGGATAGAATGCTCCAGTTGGAGATAGCTGGCTATTTTAAATAGGGTGATCAGGAAGGCCTTACAAAGATGACAGTTGAGCCAAGAGATGAGGAGTTCCCCTGTTTATCTGGGGGAAGAGTGATATAGGCAGATGGGACAGCATTTGGACTACTTACATTTTCCCCAGGCTTAGGCAATAAAGTAAAGTCAGAGGAATTTTGGAGTCTTTATTATCTACTTATTCACCAGCTATTATACTTATTGTGCACTTATTACATTCTAGATCTTTGATCTTTCTTCTACATCTAACCTCCTCTTGCTTATGGTCACCCTCCTTACAGCTACAAGCCAAAATAGTTTTTCCAAAATGTGGTTCTAACTATCGATACTCTGCTCCTACACTTAAATCCTTACACTTAACACTAGATAAAGCCCAAACTCCTTAACATGACTTATAAGCTCTCCATTTTTTTGCCATGCTTTCTCCAGCTTCATTTTTCTTATACCTGGCCATATAACTTTTTGTTGTTGTTAATCCTCACCAGAGGGTATTTTTTCCATTGATTTTTAGAGAGAGTTGAGGGAGAGAAGGAGAGAGAAAAAGACAGAGGGAGAGAGATATTAATGTGAAAGAGCCATATCAATTGGTTGCTTCCCACATGTACCCCGACCAGGGCTGGAGATGGAACCTGCAACTCCAGTGCTCGGGCCGGTGCTCTAACCACTGAGCACACCCAGCCAGGACATGGTCACGCATCTTATACTTTGCTGGCAGGTATGCTCTTTCTTAGTTCCATGCCATCGTTCATATTGTTACCTCTACCAAGGATTATCCACTTTACTTACACCTAATTCTTTAAGAGTAAATTTAAAATTTGTATTTCCAGGCACACTTACCTTAACTGCCTCATCCCATCCAATGGTGGGTCTGTCTTGCCACTCCATTAATACCTGTACATGTTTCTATCACTGTTTACATCGTCCTGTCATTATCTATTTATATGCCTGTCATGTTCTACTAACCTGTTATTCTTTTCTATCTGGGATACCTAATACCTAACAGTGTTGGGTATAATGCCGAATGGAATGAGGTGTAAGGAAGGAGAGGAAAATACACACTGATGTTAAGAATAAAGAATTGAGCCCTGATCCGTTTGGCTCAGTGGATAGAGCGTTGTCCTGAGGACTGAAAGGTCCTGGGTTTGATTCCGGTTAAGGGCATGTATCTTGGTTGCAGGCACATCCCCTGTAGGGAATGTGCAGGAAGCAGTTCATCGATGTTTTTCTTTCATCTATGTTTCTGGCTCTCTATCCCTCTCTCTTCCTCTCTATAAAGAATCAATAAAATATATATATTTTAAAAAGAATTGTAATATTATACAATTTACTATTTCTAAGGACACTCTTACCTAAAAAGAGCTTTTTTTTTTTTTTTTTTTTTTTTTTAGAAAGAATTAGATTTTAATTTTCTTCTAAAATTTAATAAAACCTTACGATATCCATATTGCAGACTAAACCTGGACCACCCAAAAAGCCGAAGACTCCTTCTGGACAATCAGCCTTAATGTATTGCTACAACTGTGGTCAAGAAGGCCATTATGGACATGTAAGTCTGAGTGTCATTTGGGCATAAAGCATTCTGTTGTCAGGAAGCGATTGATGAAAGATGAGCTTAAAAATAATGTAATTCTGAACACTTACTTTTTTAGAAAGTAACCTTCTAAAGTGAGATTTAATATAGTTTCAACTAATTTACTTCTCTCATCCCTACCAATTATGTTCCTAAATGTATGTATGTACCAGCTTGATCAGATGCTTAGAATTACAAATCAAGTATATGATGCCAAAATTATAATAAATTAGCTAAACTCTATATGGATAGTTCACACATTTTCTTCCTAAGAGGTATTCTAATTTTTTTTCAATACCTAGCTAAGAAGGATTGAACTCGCATAAATAGGTACAATGGCAAAAGACAGAAATGGGAATGTTCCAAAGGAAAACCTCTTTCAAAGAAAAGAAAGATATTTGGTTTCAGGCGTGCTGAATGAATATATGTCACCGGTCATAATTTAAAAAAAAAAAAAAAAAAAAGAGTCTACATAGGTGTATTCAGGCCAAAGATATGAATTTGGAAACTAACAGGCAAGGGAAGGTCAGAGTCATGAGAATAGGGAGCTGTCCTGGGTAATGAATGACAGCAGTGAACTTTACTTGAGGGGGGGGATTGAAGAGATGAGATGGTTCCTTTGGGGTATTTCAAAAATCATCTAAGAGCATTTCAAACTGGACACAGCCCACCGCCACCCTGCTCCCCACCGTAAGAATCAACTGTTTCCCCCAGTGAGTATTGTGTTAAAATAAGTTGACAAACCACTTGTGTGGTAGAGTGCAGAGCTAAGTTACACCCATATCTAGGATGTAAATGTGAAGGGGAAAAGAGAAGGGGAAAGCACTTGATGGAAGGCTGTTGAAGAGACAAAGAAACATAGGTCTAATACAACATAAGGCCAAATAAAGTAAGTCCTCTAACAGGTATGAGGCAGTGCAGTAAAGACCTCTTCTCTTCCTCCCACTCCCTTCAGCCATTGCTGTCAACTCAGACTGGGGGAGTGGGGTGGCAGGAAAGAATGAAAAGAGATAAGGGTTTCATAGGTAAAGAAGTAAGAGAAGAAAATTCAAGTCTGAAAAAAATACTTGATTGGATGTCAGGCTGGGTCATCCTCCCAGCGTCCAGCAAGACCACAGCCTGCAGCCAAGAATGAGTATCAGTGATGTGGGACTCATCTCCAATCAGTCATCCATAATCTTGCAAAAAAGGTTGTTTGAACAATATGCCCTTGTGACATCCTAATTTCAAATATAATTTGCAGGAATGTAAAGAAAGGCGAATGTTCAACCACACCTTTCCAACATCTCCATTCATCTACTACTATGATGACAAATATGAAATTCGGGAGCGAGAATACAGAATAAAACGAAAAGTAAAAGGTACGTTATTAGACTTCTTGCTAGATCAACTTTGCAGTGAGTTCCCAAATTTCTTTTTTCGTACTGTTTTTACCTGCTTTGGGGGTCATTGGTTAACACAGAAAATGTTTTAATTACCATGGAAACTGGAACTTGCTTGATCTCCAAAAATCAAGTACCCACTTCAAAAATTCTATGTTGTTTCCTGGCCCATATGGCACAGTTGGTTGGAAGGTCATGGGCTCAATTCCCAGTTAGGGCACATACCCAGGGTGCAGTTCCATCCCTAGTTGGGGTACATAACCAATGGATGTTTCTCACATTGATGTTTTTCTCTCTCTCTTTCTGTCCCTATCCCTTCCGCTCTAAAATATTTTTTTTTAATCCTATGTTGTATCTATTCCCAATAAACATTTTTCTAACATAAGATAATTTTAGAAAATGTCCAGAAAGTACTTCTATCCATATATGTATGCAGAGTTTTAAAGGCTCCTTTGAGATTTTTCTGTTTAGTGATTTGTTCCCCCTTTGTATAGCTCTGGTATTTTTCGTAGAAAGACAGACATCCCTACTGGATGAATTTCTGGAGCTTCCCCAAAGATGTCATTTCCTATCGGCCATGGGCTGAGCTCCAGGTCCAAAGCCAGCCTATGTGGCTTCTTTGTTTTCTGTTGCTATAACATAAGGCTCTTTCTCACCAAATTATCTTATGTTGCCTGTTTTCTCTACCTCTGTTCTCTCTTGCTATATACTTCAAGGTGGTTTACCAGTTATTTTTCTTGCTTTGGGAACAAGTAATTTTTTGTTTTTCAAGTTGACCTATACATTGTTGATTTTTTGGGGGTCTTTTTTGTTACTCTTTTCCAGATTCTTTTTAAAACATTAAAAAGCTCTAACTGGTTTGGCTCAGTGGATAGACCATTGGCCTGCGGACTGAAAGGTCCCAGGTTCGATTCTGGTCAAGGGCATGTACCTTGGTTACAGGCACATCTGCCATATATCGATAGTTCTTAGGAGATGTGCAGGGGGCAGCTGATTGATGTGTCTCTCTCATTGATGTTTCTAACTCTCTATTCCTCTCCCTTCCTGTCTGTAAAAAATCAATAAAATATATATTTTTAAAAAGTTAAAAAGAAATGCACCAAAATGTCATCTCTGGATTAAAGGATTATGAGTGCTTCTGATTTATTTTCTTTATACTTTTCTTTAGTTCCCAAGTTTTCTGTAATGAGTGTTTATAAATTTTATAATCAGAGAAAAACGATTTGGTTTCCTTTTTAACTGGTTATATTGACAACTCTGCAGCACAGATTCACTTTGAAGCTTGCTGTGATTCATTGGAATTTTCATTTTATGCCAAAATCTATAAATCTATTACTTATTTTTTCTCTATATCCCAAAATTCATTTTTTTAATCCCCTAAATATATTATTTTATTTCATTTGGAGGGGAGGCACTTCTTTAGTCTGAAGATTCTGTTGACATATTAATTTTCATTCCTCACTGTAACCTCACCTCCCACCCACCCTGTCAGAATCACTGTATCAGATACTTATAGTGAGAGCCACGTCCTATCAAAATATAACATCATATCTGCAGTAAGAACTCGAAGACACGTGTGTGCACAATTACACACTCAGTCTCCAAGCCAGCCATCTCTGCTCTGGAGGAATTGTCTGTCCTCTTTGGCATTCACCTCTAAGCATTGTGGCCAGACTTCGTCTTCAGAGTGTAATTGAAATATCATGAGTCTGTCGATAAGACTGTTATGCATCTTGCTTAACCTTATTTTCAAGGGCTGTTCCTTGAATTGGTCAGACATGTCTTTTCTTCACGAAGCGAGGATGATGACTGTTCTCGCTTGCCCTCATCTGCACTGTTTAACCGAGTTAGATTGTGTTGGACAGAATGAATATCATTGGACTTCTGGATGTTCTTCACTGTTAGCAATCAGAAATGTATAACTACAGCCATATAGTTCTTAGTGGGTGACTTTTCCTGTAGTAAGGGCCCTTTAGAATGCCCTCTCATTAGTGCATTTAAATGTCTGGCTTCCCTCTCTGCTAAGTTATTTACAGACTTAGGAAAGCTTTGCATGGACCACTTGCTGCAGAATATGCAAAAATACTTTTATATTTTCCAGAACTCCAGAAAAATGGGGATTTCCCGAAGCAGTTCAAGAGGCCTCATACGAAAGCAGCAAATCAGAGGTCCCACCATGACATGAAGACGAGCCAGGCCTCCAGCAGAAACACAAGGTGGCCTCAAGAAAAGAAAGAAACCCGAAAGGAAACAACGAGCAGGCCCAACAGAGAGCGTGAGAAGCACAGGAAGAACCACGGGGGCCATGCTGAGGATGAGGACTTTCCCAGAGGCCCCAGAACCCCCTCTTCCCTTGGCACCCCCAAAACCAAGAAGCCTCACAAGTCCTCTCACCACTCCCACCAGCACAGGCCAGACGACAGGCGGCCCAGAGAGGGCCGGCGGGGCAAGCATAAGAAGAAGGAGCGCCACGTGGAGGAGGAGGACGATGACAACTTGTTTCTTATCAAGCAGAGGAGAAAAAAGTCTAGACTCTGAGGCAGCTGCCGATTGGCTTTCCAGCAGCTGTCTGCTCTTCATGTCCACAGCATTCTGCCAATCTTTTTACTAATTAAAGTGAGTTTTGGTTTTTTGTTTTGTTTCATCTCAGCCATACCCTAGAGCTGCTGAATGAAGACCTTGGAGATCCGTTCTCTGTGTTCCAGCAGGTTACTAGGTGGAAAAACAAAGATAAACTTGGACTTCCCCTGTTCCAGTTGGTCATTTTTACTCAGAATCCTATAGGTAGGAAGAATTCATCTTTTCAAGAGAATTTTTAAAAATACTTTGAAAAAATTAAAGCTCACCAGATATAATTCATCTGCAGGATGCGTATGTAAATTAAGTCCTTGCAGGAAGAGAAACCAATGCTGACGTGAAAAATGCATAGATCTTTTTCATCATTACTCTTAGCATTGGGAAGGATAATAGTTATAAATCTAAGCTTTACTGGCTTCTGAAGCTGGGGTCAGACTCCTCTTTCAGTCAGAGCATCAGGGATGAGCAATGAAGGCGGCGCCATCAAAGCCCTGAAGAAGCTGGAAAGTGGGCTGTCGGGAATACAGGCCAGGCATCCGTGCAGTGTAAATGTCCCAGGTCAGATTCCCTGAAACAAGTGAAACAGAGCCCTCAAAACTGTTGATGTCATCACAATGAAATAGCTTCTGCCATTTTTACAGCCACACTTCAAGAATACTGTCACTCAGCTAGATAGAGAGGAATACTGCCAAAAAAAAAAAAAAATTGTTTTGTTTTCATAGGTTTTTTTTTTACAGTATAGCTATACAGGAATTTTTGTACTTGCGAGCCTTTTGTACTTATCAAAGCCTAATGTTAGAACTGGAAAAATAAAATGTCTGAAATAGAGTAAAATGTGTCTGATATGTAGAAAGCCAACAAGGGTTTGGGCAACAAAGGGCATACTTGGGTTGGACAAGTGACTAAACTTATAAAATCTCCAATAACTGGGGTTAACATTAACTTTGGGGTTAACATTGTTGCCCAAGCACTAGCTCTGCCAGAATAAAGCAAGGTGCGCTAAGACAGTTTTATAGGATTAGGATCTTAAGTTTGTCTTTGTGAAGTTCACAAACTGCCAAATATCTGGTGGGATCCGCTCTCTTGTCTTTCTGGGAAAAACTCTCTCCTCCAAGTCAGCTCCATGTAAGTTGTAGTCTTCAGTCCTCTCCTGCCCGGTGGCTGCTCAGCTCTCTGCTAAGTGTAAGGGTTCATTGTGTGTTGGTGGGTGGCATCCTCACATCAGCTGGGATTGTTTTGACCCTAAGATAAATGACCAGAGTCTTAACACGCTGCTAAAAGTGCCAGCGGCTCAAGGGAGTGGTATGCCTTGAGATAACAGGCATTATTCCTCAAAAGGGCCCAGAACAAGCATGGTGTGACTGGCATTCTGTGGCATCTTCCATACATTCTGTTTCGAGAAGGGAAGAAAGAAGCTTTTTTTCCTCTCTCTCTTCTATTTGTTCCTGCACATTCTCTCTTTTTTTAATATATTTTATTGATTTTTTTTTTTTTTTTTTTTTTTTACAGAGAGGAAAGGAGTGGGAGAGTTAGAAACATCTATGAGAGAGAAACATCATTCAGCTGCCTCCTATACACCCCCTACTAGGGATGTGCTCGCAACCAAGGTACATGCCCTTGACCATAATCGAACATGAGACCCTTTATTCCGCAGGCCGAGGCTCTCTCCACTCAGCCAAATCTGTTAGGACTCTTCACGTTCTCTTATTTTTCCTCCCCAATTGTATATTTTTCTAAGAACATTTTAGAGTAGAACATTTTATTCTGGGGTATAATTTGCCGTCCAGGTCCATGCATTTATAGCAGGTATGAAAGGATGGTGAGGAAAGCTCAAACAGAAGCCTCTGCTCCATTTCCTCCTCACACACCGACTTTCCGTACAAGAATGGGGAGTTTAAAATGTGCAGCAACTAGCCGAAGCCGGTTTGGCTCAGTGGAAGAGCGTCGGCCTGGGGACTGAAGGGTCCCGGATTTGATTCCACTCAAGGGCATGTACCTTGGTTGCGGGCACATCCCCAGTGGGGGGTGTGCAGGAGGCAGCAGGTCGATGTTTCTCTCTCATCGACGTTTCTAACTCTCTATCCCTCTCAATTCCTCTCTGTGTAAAATCAATAAAATATATTTTAAAAAAATAAAGTAAAATAAAATATGCAGCAACTGGACAATCAAGTAAGAATTTAAAAGAAGAAAAGCAGATGTCCCAAACAGTGAGGAGCCCTCTGTTGCTAGGAGAGAGAAGACTAAATGTCTTCTGCCTCTGGACCTGTTTTGATTAGAAGTAGCTTGAAAGGCTCCTTTGCTGGGTTTTGGCTCCATACATGTTTGGCATTTTTAGAGTTGAGCTGAGAGGCACCACTTCCCATTCTCTCAACAGAAAGCCTGGCGTTTGTGGACCATGCTATGTCTGTTACCTCAGAACCATGCAGTTAAGAGCACCTGTTATCAGGCTGTTTATTTTTATGTTTTACAAGGAGTTCATGTTAGTTTGAGGGGAGCGGTTTTTTGTTTTTGTTTTTAACATAAAATCATACTTGATTCTTCTACCCAAAGATACAAGTAACATTCTTACTATCTATCCTCCCGTATGTTTTTTATGCATACATACATTATTTTGTAACCTGTTTTTATACTTAATAGTGAAAATATTTTCTTTGTTCTTATAAATTTTATTTATTCTTTACAGAGAGGAAGGGAGAGGGATAGAGAGTTAGAAACATGGATAAGAAAGAAACATCGACCAGCTGCCTCCCGCACACCTCCTGCTGGGAATGTGCCCTCAACTAAGGTACATGCCCTTGACCGGAATGGAACCCAGGACCTTTCAGTCTGCAAGCTGAAGCTCTATCCATCAGAGTTCAGTCCTATGTACACCAGTGAACAATCCTCACAGATTTCCACATGCGTCCTCCTGAGTATGTCTACCACACGTAACTCAGCCTCTTGCACCCCACAGACCAGTATGATCTCCTTGCTGATCAGATACCGTCACAAGGACGTGCCATTTTGAGCTCTGATAACCTCTGACCGCCTCCCTGGGCCTGATTCTTCTTTCTGAAATTGGAAGCCATCGCCCGGCCTGTGTGGCTCAGTGCTCGGCTCTGCCAGGCGTGTCCAGGTCAGCAATTAGGCCCTCATGGTAAGCAGCCAGAAGGGAAGCCACCATAAAGAACCCTTGGTTCACAGCTCCACCATGTGCCCTGGTCCTGCCCTGGCATCCACGGCACCATGCCCTTGAGGAGCTTTTGCTTTCTCTAGTGGGCAAGACAGGTGTAATCCCCTTTCAGCTCTACAACAAAGATTAAAGCTCACACAGTTGTGGGGCTGGCAAGTTCAAAACAAAATACGAAGGGCAGGCCAGCAGGCTGGAAACGCAGGCAGTGTTTTATAGTTTTAAAGCAGGATTCTTTCTGCAGGAAACCCCAGTTTTTGCCTTTGAGGCCTTCAGCTAATTGGACGAGTTCCACATTGTGGAGGATAATCTTTACTTAAAAGTCAACTGATTCGATCACATCTACAAAATATCTCTCCTGCAACATCTAGTGTTTTGGCTGCACAGCTGGGAGCCATCGCCTTGCTTAGTTGACATAAAATTAACCATCACAGTAGTCTTTATCTAAAAAAATGAAACTGAGTCAGAAACGTTGACAAAATCCTAATCCCTAGAAGAAGGTACCAGGCCTGCCGAGTAACTTTTGCACCTTAGTAATAAGTTTGCATGATTTATTCCTGCGTCCTACATAAAATTCTCCACAGGCCAGAACCAGAACATCTGGGGAATGTTGTACCACATGCCGATGCAGCTTGGGAGGAGACTGGCTTGGTGCCAAGAAGCCTTCATGACTAGAGTTTCTGACAGTGGGACAGGCTGGGGACACAGTGGGCTCCTGGTCCAGAGGGTGAGCTATCGGAGCCATGGAGATTCAAGCATCTACAGAGAGGAGGCAGGGACTGGAAGGAGCCTCCCAGAGGGCCCATGAGTTCTGGGAGCTCTAGATACTACAAATGTTTCTCAGAAAAGTCCCTGCTTCCTCTTCTCCACACCCCTCCTCCACCCTCAGTGAGGCGTCAGAGGCTGGGGCAGAACACGGAACCTCTCTGAAATGGAAACATCTGTGTGCCTTTCTCGCCCTCCTCCACCATCCCCGCTCCCCTGCCAGCCAGCCTGGCCTGGTGAGTCTTCTGGGAGGGGAGCTCCTTTCACACCCCATCTCATCCTCCATGCCTCAGGGGGCTCGGGGATCCACCATCGGTCCATCGTCCACAGGTCATGGGTCGCCAGGCACCTCTCCTGTTTTGCCTACACCCAATTAATCATCTCTTCCTGGCGATGTGCATGGCAGCCCTCCTGCACTTGGCTGCTCAGGGGAGTTTTCTGGTTTCATTGCTTCACTTAACGCGGCCTCCTGGGTCACTCTGGATTTCCCTGCCCCCACCACAGGCCCGGCCTCCAAAGCCTGCCTGTCTGTGCTCCGGGATCCTTGTCTTCTCACCAGCCTGCCCATCCTATCAGCAAGCCAGGCTCTGCCCACTGTGCCACCTTGCAAATGGGTAGGGGAGGGTGGGGGAGGGTGGGGAAGGTAGGGCCCTCTGGGCCATAGCAGGGTCCTTGAAGTTCTGGTGGATGTCAAAACTGCAAAGGACCTCAAAGATTGTCTAGTACACTCTGGCTCACCCTGTTTCACTCCATTTCACAGATGGGGAAACTGAGGTCAAAATGAGGAAAAGGTGGCCCGGCCAGCGTGGCTCAGTGGTTGAGTGTTGACCTATGATCTTGGAGGTCATGGTTCAATTCGGTGCCTGACCCAATCGGTGCCTGAACATGCCCAGGCTGCAGGCTCAGTCCCCAGTGGGAGATGTGCAGGAGACAGCCTATCAATGATGATTCTCATCATTGACATTTCTCTCTCTCCTTTCCTCTCTGAAATTCGTGTGTGTGTGTGTGTGTGTGTGTGTGTGTGTGT